AAAACTGTAGAAAAAAAAAAGATGCGCATGTACAGTGTTGTGTTCGGACAAAGCGGACCTACCCAGGACCCGTGGTACCTGGTTCTTTCTGTGTACAAACGAATTTTAATGCAAGAAGTGTGATGTTATTTCCATGTGTTGCCCAAGACAACTGAGAACTCTGCCCAGTTTCATTGGGGACCTCCTCAGTGCTGCTCCAGCTAGATCGCATTATTATCTACTGTCCTAAAAAGTGTCTGATGTAAGAAAATGCCGGCCGGCCAGATAGCTCAGTAAGTTAAAGTGCCTGCTTAGGCAGAATCAGGGACAGACGTTGGTTCCCAGATGAGTCCTGCAGGCTCCACCCCCGGCATGTGCTGAGACAGTGATTGAGACGGGGTGTGGTGTCACGCACCTGTAATCCCAGCACTTGGGAGGCTGATAACCGGAGGATCGCTAAGAGCCCAATCTGCGTAGTGAGACCCTGTAGGCCCCGCATGAAATACACTAAAAACAATAAAATAAACTGCCATCATAGGAAAAGCTTAAGTCCTCAATGAAAGCCATCCACTCAGGACCCTCAAATTCAGTTGAGCAATTCTGAATGTCTGTGTGGCAAGACACACTTCTTGGAAGTCTGTGCTTTGCATGTCCTGCCCATGATTTCTGTCTCAGAAAGCCCTTATCTGCAGGTTTCCTCCATTCTGAACCACTTCAGCCTTAAAATTTATAACTACTGTCTTACTTGTTTGATTCCTAAATAAATAGAACTTTGTAAGACCAGGACCCGTGAGACCCAGAAAATTTACTGATACTACGAGATTGACTTAGATATTTAAACACGCATGTCGCTTCCTGTTGAGTCATTGCAGGTAGCCATGGAACCTGCAAACTGATCAAATGTGTGAGAGTGGCACACAGTGGCCTCTATGCCTAAAGCAGTCGAGCTACCTCAGTCCTGAGATAAGCATCCTGACGGATGAATGTCAGCTAGCTGTCACTAGGCAATCTTGTGCCAAGTGCTACTAACCTTGCAAAGGTATAAATAGACACCCCTACTGTTCCTCTGGGAGTTGTCTTACCAACCAAGTAGATGGGACACCACCTGACCCAGCTCTTGTCTTCTTGCCTATCGTTTCCTCATTCTTGTCCCCATTTCTCCCTGGCTACAAGAGATCACACTGAGAAGCCAGTGGATTCCCTACATCTCACCACTTTTCTCAGGAAATAATTTTCCATTCTGCTAGGATTTGATATTTCAAATATCATCTCAGTTATTTTCCTCTCGTTGCCGGGACAAAATTCCCAACACCCAAAATTAAGAAAGTTCAGGTTTATTTAGCTCACAGTTTGTGGAGATTTCAGTACACATTCAGCTGGCTCCAAGGCAGAGTGGCACACGGCAGGGGGCAGCACACTGTGGTAGTGGTAAACAGCAGAACAACAAGAGTAAGAAGAGAGGACAGCTGCAGAGAGCAGGCCTTTGTCCCTTCTCTACGTTGCTTTCAGATTCTGCCCCAGGGAGGCTGCAGTGCCCACACCTATGACCCCACACTGGGTCATGAATTAATTGCAAACTCTAGAAGCCTGCCCCATGACTGTGTGAGGAGTTGGGTTGATAGCTAGACATACATCATAAGGAATATGTGTGATTCTCATGAATGAATTATTATCTTCTCCAGGTTTTACAACAAGTAATGCCTCGAGTTGCCTGAAGACGTCTGCAACCTCTGAGTACCAACCATGAGGTCTTCTCTCATGATTTTTCACTTCGTTTTAGGACTCTACTTTTTATTGCACTGTAACTTGTGAATTCTGCTGAATACAACTCCTGGAGACCGAAGTCTCTTCTTTCTCATTCCATTCCTGCAGGGAAGTTCTGATAACTCACTTCTCCACTGTTACCAGGGAACTTTAAGACGGGGAAGACTCCTACTGTCTATATTAACTAAATGGAAACTAAAACACAGCACAAGGAAGAATTAAATATGACAAATCATTCATTGCTATAGGACTGATCTATACCTTGAGGTTCTCTGTTATGTAGAATTATAACAAAAGTAAAAGTGATTTTTTTTAAATTTAATTTTAGGGAGAGGTCTACAGGGTGTTCAGGGTCTAACTACTAGATCAGACTCAGTGATCTGCCCTTTTACAGCCTTCAAACAGCTGGGATTACAGGCACATGCCACCATGCCCGATCTCAATCATTGTCTCAGCTTGCCCCTGGGGCAAGGCTGGCACAGCGGGCCCTGGGATCAAACTCCCTGCCCCTGATCCTGCTTGCAGGTGCTGTAATCTGCTGTGCTATTTGGCCAGTCTGAAAAATGTGATTGTTATCTAAGAGAACAAAACACCACTGTACTCAAAGGAAATGCTGATCAACTTTGTCCTCTGCTCGCAAGGGAGAGAACCCTCTGCCAATTAATCTCTAGTCATGCAATCTCATCTGGGACACCTGGGCCTGAGCATTTGCCCAGAGTCTCTGAGATGAGCCAGCCCACCTCACCCAGCCCTGCTGATTTGCATGTGACCAGAGCCAGCCCAGCCCTGAGGGCTCTTCACAGGTTGCTCACTCCCTGGGCAGGAGTTGGTCCCAGGCAGGACACAGCATGGCCATGAGGGTCCCTGTGCAGCTCCTGGGGCTCCTGCTGTTCTGGTTTCCAGGTAAGGAGGGGCAGCCCTGGGGATTTCCTCAGCATTGCATGGTCAGAGCCAACTCAATCTTTCAGGAACTTCTTCTATAGGGTGATTATTCATGTCCATATTTATTTTTATGTTTCCACTGTCAGGTGGCAGATGTGACATCCAGTTGACGCAGTCTCCATCTGTATCAGCATCTTTGGGAGAGAGAGTGACCATCACTTGTCGAGCCAGCCAGAGTACTAGCAATAATTTACACTGGTATCAGTAGAAACCAGGGCAAGCTCCCAAACTCCTGATCTACGGTGCAACCACTGTGCAGTCTGGGGTCCCCTCAAGGTTCAGCGGCAGTAGGTCTGGGACGGATTTCACTCTCGCCATCAGCAGCCTGGAGCCTGAAGATGCCTCCACTTATTACTGTCAACACAGTAAAATTTGGTCCCTCACAGTGATAAAAGCCGTGACATAAACCTCCCAGAGAAGCAGAAATGAGATGCTGGGCTGCCCCAGCTTTTCTTCATGGGGCCTGCACCTGGTAGAGGCGTGTTTCTCAGCTGCAGTAAGGATCTGAAGGTCATCTGAGACAGAGACCTTGTCCCTTAGTTCTGCTTCCTTCTCCACTGCTCTAGGAAGTCACCGGTGGTGAAGTCTCTCCTGACTGAATAAAGAGCACACATCGTTCCCCTTCAGAGTAGCAATTCGAGCAAGTCTTGAGCTTCATAAAGCAAGTGGCAAGCAGTGGTATCTATTTCTAGTAGAAATATGAAGTAGAATCCATACAATGGGTATTTAACTGATTTCAATATTTAGAACTATGTGAGTGAAAGAGGCCTATAAGGAAACACAACACAGAACACAGAACTCCCAAGGGCCATGGAAGTGTCTGCCTGTAATCGCAGCAGTAGGGAGGGTGAGACACAGATTTGTCAGAAACCCAAAGCCAAGCAAGGTTTACAGAATAACTTTAAGGCCAGCCTGAGCTACACAACGAGACCCTGTCTCAGAAACAAAGCAGAACAACAGGAAACACAGCAGCGGCCACAGAATAGATGCTACAGGGAGTGACTCTTACTCCTCAGAACCTCAGGAGCATGGGTGACAGAAATTCCAAGCAGGAATTACCTCTGTAATGGCAGTGACACTGGGGACACCAATCTTCAAGTGCAAATTTTGTACTCATGAGAAAAGCAGGTGCCATAAACACAGGATCCTCAGCTGTTCCCCCGGGAGGCGGAGCACACTGTTCCTGGTGCTGATGTCCCTCCACCACGAGGTCCTCAGATGGGACTCCAACCGCCACACGGAGAGATGGTCCTTGCTCCTGAGCTTGTAGCCCACCCTCCTGGCTGATTCTCCACCCCCCTCCCTGCTGGTGTGTGAATCTTCCTCCTCTACCTCCAAGTCTCTGAGGCCCGGTTTTGAACATTTCCATGGAAAAACAAATTGAAAAAGCAGTTTTAGAAATGTAATCCCATAAACGTTGGTGCGTTCAGGACCACGGCCTATCCCATGATGCTTCGGTGTGCTTAAGGTCTTAGCACACATCGAGCAAGAAGAAATCATTCCGTTGGGCCTGTGACTGGCACTGCTGCTTCCCGTGCGGCCTTCCTCTGGGCATCACTGAGCTTCGTAATTAAATTCCTGTCTCTCAGAATACTTTCATGAAGCCTGCCAGACAATGACAGGAAATAGGCCCCCAAAAGTTAGTATGAGCAAGGAAGAAGAGAATTTACCTGGAACATAAGCAGGTTGACGCTATTATCTTTAACTTGGTAAGTGGAAAGCAATGACTAGGAAAAATATCATTGGGACCTTGAATTCTGATTCAGAAATTATTAACTTTCCACTGAAGGCCAAATATAAAAAGCTAATGTGACCAAAATCCCAGTCATTGCTTGAAACGCGTTTATGATTGTGCGTCTCACTGTGGAAACATGTCAGACAAGGTCGTTGTATTACAAAGGGGGTGGCTGTCCCTGAACAGGGAAGACATAGGCATTTCTCCACACATCACCTCAAGAGAGGTCAAGGGCACAAGGTCATAGTGGGAAGCGCGCTGTAGGTGTCTTGAAGTACCCTGGAGACCTGGCTGCCCCGGATGCAACCATTATAGACGCGTTGTCTGATTTCATCCAGGAGTAATTTTGCTCATTTCCCAACAGACCTCATATCCACAAGCAAAGATGATTCGGGACAGACCTAGCATGACCTGACCAGGGAAGCTTGGGTAACACCAGTCCTTCTGTCACATATAGCAAAAGGGAGAATGCTGGGAGTCTGAGGAGATGTCTCTCTGGAGAATTAACCCTTATTCTTTCTGAAAACACAGTGAGGCCCGAGTCCCTGAGTTGTACACAAGGAAGAAAATGTTCCTCACCCAGATGGGAGAGAGTGTAAAACCTCCATACTCCCTCTAGGCCAGGCCTGTAGGCCTTGAACACCTGTGGCTCAGACTGTTTCCTCACAAGCCTCGTCTCAACCTGGCTCCAGAGTGAGGACGCCATGGTTCAGCTTCCAGCTCCTAAGGAACAGAGTATGCAGTGTGTCAATGCCTAAAGGACCGTAGCGAGCATTGTATCTCATTATACCTTTACCAATAGTGCAAATAGGACACAAGGTCCACCTCTCAGTACTCCACAGTGCCGCTACTTCATTTCCCTTCTGCAGGACTCCTCTAGCATGACCGTGGTGGACAGTTCCTGTTCCTCCAGGAATCAGGACCTGCCCAGCCTGAGGCTGTGGCTGCGCCCTTCCCAGGCATCTGGACGCAGCTCTCTTAGGAGCCACAGGGGGGCGCTGTTTCTCCAAGGAGCCTGCTGTTGCAGGTCAGGAAAGTACAGGCGAACTTAAGTGTTTTTTTAATTAATTTTTTTGGTGCAATTTATGTATGCACAAGGGTCACATTCATCAAAGGGAATTTGTGTCTGTATATTATAAACTCTTAATTTTTTTCTCCCTTTCCTCTCCCTTCCTTTCAACTACTCTTTCCTCTTTATTTCCTTCCCACTGTATTCATCTTCCTTCATTTTTTCTTTTCCTTTTTCTTCCCCTACAACCTCCCACGTTCATTTATTTGTGATTTGTTCTAAGTTTTAGAAAACAACACTTTCTTCAGATTGATTAATTAAGAGAGTTATTTATTAAAGGCTAAGATACAAATTTTAATTTAGTAGTACCAGAGGAAGAAAAAACAAAATCAAATACACAAAAATTTACAAAAGGAATGAAAGCACGTGGTACTGACTGTGCTCTGCGCTCCTCATCACGGTGCTGTCAGGATCCAAGTCACAGCCCTGAAGTTCAACATTTAAGCGTTGATATTTGTTAAACTGTTAAACTATTTAGTGTGTTTCATAGGTTCTAAGCTTTCTAAATTATCCTGATTCAATCAATTACTCAAAAATGCTCAGATCAATCTTCTCTATACAATCATGCTTAAAATCCTATTTGTTTATGCTCTGTAGAAATTAAATATATTAGGTTTAATTAACTCAGACAATATCCATTCTTTCCATTGCTCCAGAAAATTACTTTTCAGATCAGTGAATGTCCTTCCAAAACAATTTGATGTATGGCACTATTTGTTAGAATTAAGTGAGTTACATATTAATCCCCATCAGCAAGTTATCAGCTTGTTTTCTGTCTCAGTGTTAGTGGTCTGATGGACTCACCCCTGAGAAGTCAGTGAGGCCCAGAACAACGTCAGCACCAGACCCCGGAAGTGAGGAGCCCTCCTGGCGGGAGGAAGCTCATCCCCTCCCAGAACGAAGCCCTGTGCACCGAGGCCTCAGCTGTGATGGTCCCCACACACGGGCCTGGCCAGAGCACCAGGGTCTCAGCAGAGCAGACCCTTCTCCTGGCCTCGCGAGCCTGGCTCGGGCAGGGCCTGTGGGTGCGCAGTTCCTTCCTTCCCTGGGCCTCAGGCCCACCCTGAGGACCTCAGCTGCACCCTCCCCGCTCACAGCTCTGCAGGCATCCGGGCCTCAGCCTGGCCTCGGAGCTCTGCTCCTGCCCTCTCTCCTACTCCAGGGCCACGAAGTCTATTTCCATAATCACTGAAACCAGCGACTTGGATAATGCGAAATTTGACTTCATCTCATTCCCAGGTCCAGGCTTGCTTCAACCTGAGCTGACAGTTTCCTCAGAGCTCTCTGTCTGTTTGATCACAAACATACTCATTATCACACTAAGGCAGTATCGTTAAACACCAACCTCTGATAAGTCCCACTTTTTGATAAGTTACTGAACTACCATGTCCCTCTTGCTGTACGTGGTAAGAACATCAAGCCCGTTTTAGAAGAAGGCATGAATGTGGGACACAGGTAATCAATCAGCTGAGAAATGAGATCAGAGAGGCATGAGGCGGGCCAGCTGCCAGGAAAGCGCAGGATCTGCTGGATGGAGATGGTAAGAGCTCCGCTCAGATTTTCTACCATGTAGCTGTTAGAGGTAGTTGATCCTCAGAGACACCGAACCCATCCAGAGTGAAGAAGGCGATAAGTCAACCTCAAAAGTCTATGAAGAGATCGAAGCGCCTCAGGAAAACAGGGATAGCATTTCCTGTTATCACCAAACAGCGAGAGCAATTCCAACTTCTGGGACACACAGATTTCCCTCAGCGTCCCAGAGCCCTGCTACAGCTTTTTGCATGCTTCTAAATTGCTGTGTGTTATCCAGTGACGTCTAAAGGAGGTAAATTGGGCTGGCCTTCAACCCCATTCGGAGCCCAGACAGTATCATGTGCTTGTCTGTGTGTGTGTGTGTGTGTGTGTGTGTGTGTGTGTGTGTGAGTGTGTCTCTGTTTGAGAATATCGTACCATGGAGAAGTAGAAAGCACAATGCACTGTGTCCGACCTTGGCGCGTTAGCCCTGTTACGTCGGTGTCTTCAGAATGCCACGTCGATTCAAAAAGTTGAGAACGTTTATCACCTGCACTTTTCTTTTTATGCCGTGGCTTTCACGTACTCTCAGGTTTTCCTTAGTTGCTCCCATACACACATGTCTTTACCATAGAATATTGGTGACAAACAGGACAAGAGTGTCCAGAAATAGGTGGAGAGCAGGCCCCCAGGAAGGGCACTGCTGAGGGAGGTGGCCTTTGTCCTGTGGGCCCTGGAGGAACGCCTTTGTCCTGCACCCTCATCTCGTCCAGCCTCCTCTTGCCCAAGTCCTGGGTCATTTGCCTTCCTGGTGACTGCAGTGAGCCAGCCCTGCAGCTGAGCCCAGCCCAGCCCAACGCCTGCTGATTTGCATGTCCCCAGAGCACAGCAGGAGGGACTTCTTAACAGGCTGTGACAGCCTGGGCAGGAGTGAGAGGCAGTCAGGACACAGCATGGCCATGAGGGTCCCCGCTCAGCTCCTGGGGCTCCTGCTGCTCTGGCTCCCAGGTAAGGAGGGCAGCGCTGGGGATTTGCTCAGCACTGTGTGGTCATTACTTCTTCCCTCTTCAAAGGAGTTTTCTCAAAACCT